GGGTGGAGCTATCAGTCCTTTAGGGTGGGGATAACAGGCATTTAGGGTGGAGCTATCAGTCCTTTAGGGTGGAGATAACAGTCATTTAGGGCAGAGCTATCAGTCCTTTAGGGTGGAGATAACAGTCATTTAGGGCGGAGCTATCAGTCCTTTAGGGTGGAGATAACAGTCATTTAGGGCAGAGCTATCAGTCCTTTAGGGTGGAGATAACAGTCATTTAGGGCGGAGCTATCAGTCCTTTAGGGTGGAGATAACAGTCATTTAGGGCAGAGCTATCAGTCCTTTAGGGTGGAGATAACAGTCATTTAGGGCGGAGCTATCAGTCCTTTAGGGTGGAGATAACAGTCATTTAGGGCGGAGCTATCAGTCCTTTAGGGTGGAGATAAGTCATTTAGGGCGGAGCTATCAGTCCTTTAGGGTGGAGATAACAGTCATTTAGGGCAGAGCTATCAGTCCTTTAGGGTGGAGATAACAGTCATTTAGGGCGGAGCTATCAGTCCTTTAGGGTGGAGATAACAGTCATTTAGGGCAGAGCTATCAGTCTTTTAGCAAATTTTACGGCACAATGCACTCACATACTTTGAAGCAGGCTATGACCGAACACAGAGGATGATCTCCGAGTGGTGGTCTCCAAAATTAAACCAAGAATAGACTTGTGCTGTAAACATAGTGTCTCATTAAGTGCGGTTAATTTTAAATGAAACAAATGAATCATCATTCCAACAATGCACATCACGTGACCACACACACACACACACACACACACACACACACTAGTGTAAACGGGGCCTTAATCCCAACAGGGAGAACCAGCAGCAATCAAGAATGCCATGGCATGGCAATCAAAAAATATGATTATAATGGAAGTCAATGAAGTTAAAAACAGCCACCAAGGGTTAACTATAAGAGAAGAAGCTTCATGCTGCGCTGTCAGGATGAACACTGAACATTCACATGCTGGAGTCGTGCGTCAGCTTTCTGAAGTGACAAACAGGTGAAAGAAACTAATGCTGCTTTATTTCTGCACTACTGACGGGAGATCTGAGGGTCTGAGCTCACAGCAGAAAACCCCTCTGTGCACTTTGATGCCTTTTTCTGGCTTATTTTTATTCTTTGAGAGCACTGATGGAGAACACCAGCATTAATATTATTATATCTGCTTCTGAAAATAAGATATGAAGGAGTTTTGCGTTGGTGGGGATTCATGCTTTCTGTCTAGTGCACTTATTTTTGTAATTGGCCTGAAATATTAGGCCTTTTTAATTGTTTTTTTTTTTTTTGTCTGTTGCAGATATTGAAATTCAGGGTGCTTTATCTTTTGTACAGTTTTTGTTTCGAAAAAATGTAATTTTTCAATGCAGAATTGTTTTTTATCACATGTGTTATGCTAATCTTCAGCATCAATACAAGTATTTTTATTTTTATTCTAAGGTTATTGGTCTTCATAGTGACTGAAAGTCATGCAAAATCATATTTCTATAGCTAAATCTGCATTTTATTTTGTTATATTTTAGAGCTGCACAATAATGTAAAAAAAATATTAATAATAATATTACCTATAACATTTGCCTTGAAAAAAATCAATTTTTAAAATTATTTTAAATCATTTATTAATTTAAAGATATTAAAAAAAACAGGTAAAATATAATTTTCAGATCCAGTTAATTCTAATTTAGACTAAACAACTGTGTTAAGCTTCAAACATGTAGGGCCCTATCATACACCTGCTGCAATAAGGCGCATTGTTGGCGTGTTGCTATTTTGAGGAACTGAAATAGACCAACAGCACCATTGATCAACTAAAAGCTGCTCTAAAGTCCAGCAGAGCGCGTTAGTTATGCACCTATGCAGATCCAAACACTGCTGAACACACACAGGATGAACAGCAGCACACAGATATCTTTACAGATGAAAACAATTAAAGGATTAAAATATTACAAACATGTTTATTTTCTACATCAATATAAACAGCACTGCCTCCATGCCTTCTTCACCTCGGGGGGCTTCTTCAGTTTATTCATGATGATCTGCATCTGTATAATGTGATTATTATTAGCAGTATTATTTATGATTTGCAGATTTATATTCGTTTTAATATAAACAAGTGTAGATTTGTCCAGCTGTGGGGTTTTGGAGACGTCTGCATCACCATATGGGGCATAAGAACAGGACATGTGTTTGAAATATCTCAGTTTTCTGACCACACTTCATTATTGTTGCTCATTTATTCCTTTGCTGGAGGTCAGAACTAAATTAAGAAATAGATTTGAATCAACTCTTTGTGTTTAACTAAAGGAAATTAAACATGTGAGTTAATGGATGTGTTCAGTGGAGTGAGTTTCCACCGTTTCCTCACTCCACTAAAGTAAAGGAGTAAAGAGTGAAAGTAAAGTAAAGAGAGAGTAAAGAGGCCAATTGGAGGAGGATCGTTTTTAATCATATGAGACTCTGAGTGGTTTAATGCACGAAAGATTCAGTGGCAAGTTTGTTTTTTAGCTTTCAAGTGTGTGTATAAATATTTATATTCCAAGTTTTTTTTAAATATCTATCTATCTATCTATCTATCTATCTATCTATCTATCTATCTATCTATCTATCTATCTATCTATCTATCTATCTA